CTGGGGGGGAGCATAGGGAAAAATGGCGCGAAGCCATGGACAGAGAACTAAAACGTTGGAGGAACGCAATACCTGGAAAGTTGTTCCCATTGGCGTGGCACAAAACAAGACAATACAAACCGGGAACTGGGTCTTCCGTGTGAAGACGAAGGCTGACGGCACCATTGACAAGTTCAAGGCGCGTTGGGTCGTACGCAGCTTCGACCAAGAGCACGGACGCGACTTCACCGAAACATTCGCTCCGGTCAGCCGACACACCTCGCTACGAATCCTTCTCGCGATCGCCGCCATGAAGAAGAAAAAGCTACGACAAATCGACGTCGCCAATGCATTTCTATACGCACCCGTCGACGCAGAAATCTTCGTCGAGCTACCGCACGGCTCCAACGGAGAACCTAACCACGTCTGCCAGTTACTCAAATCGCTCTACGGCATCAAACAAGCCCCACGACTGTGGCAACAGTACCTGCACGCTCGCCTCATTCGCATCGGCTTCAAGCAGCTACCGCACGATCAGGGTATGTACCGGCTCACGAAAGGCGACGACTACATTCTGTTAATCGTCTATGTAGATGATCTGCTTTACATCGGCTCGACCGACGGTGTCACGACCTGGTTCGAAGGGGAGCTGCAGAAGGACCTCACCCTCACTGTCTCATCTACCGTCACACAGTACCTCGGCCTCAACATCCGGGAAGAGGAGAACGCGATCTACCTCAGCGCCGCGAAATACGCCGACACCATCGCCAAACGTTTCGCACTCACACCGACCGTCATCTCCACGCCGTACCGCTACACGACAGGAAACAACAAGGAAGGCTCCGCTCTACTAAAGCCCGCCGGCATACGCGACTACCAGAGGAAGCTGGGATGCCTCCTCTTCGCAGCTGTCACCTGCCGACCGGACCTATCGTATTCCGCAAGCCAACTCGCCACCCATCTCAAGAGGCCTGAAGCAAAACACATGGCGGAGCTCGACCGCGCCCTCAACTATCTCGTAAGCACTCCAACAATCGGTCTCACCTACCATAAAAACGCGAATACAACACCTAGGCTAATCGGCTGCGTCGACGCCGATCACGCCGGCGACTCTGACAACAGGCGCTCGCGCACCGGCTACATCTACCGCCTCGAGCCTATCGGTCCTATCTCCTGGCAGTCGAGCAAGCAGGAATTAATCGCCCTCTCTTCAGCAGAAGCAGAATACATCGCACTCTGCTCAGCCACCAAGGAAGGACTCTACCTTCGCGAACTGCTGGAAGAAGCAAAATTGGCCCAGTTACCAAGCTTCACCCTGTTCTGCGACAACCAGTCAGCGATTCGCATCGCCAACAAGAACGGCTTTGCGAACAGGACGAAACACATCGCCCTGCGATACTTCTTCGTGAAGGACGAGATCGAAAAGGGGAGGCTTGAGCTGTCATACTGCCCCACATCCGAGATGGCAGCCGACTACTTGACCAAGAAGCTCGGAAAACAGAAGTTCGAGTACTGCATGCTGCTGACTGGACAGAGCCACGTCACCAGCAGCGACACTCCAGAAGCGAAGGGGAGTGTTGGAAACAATTGATTTAATTCGCTTCTATCGTGTCAAAACACCAAGTCAAAAGCGAAGCAAAGTATAGCGAAGCACCAGTGAGTCAACCCTCGGAGGTTGAAGTAACTGTTGGAGGTTACGCGAAAGTCAAAGGTCAGCGACCTTTGACCTGACAAGTACAGCGCGACAGCAAGGACACACAACTGACTCGTTACAGAGCAGTTGCCCGAGTCGTCACTGTATCGAACCGCAACAGCAACAGTAAAGTAGTTATAACTGTATCTCTTCATACTCCTTCTACCCCTATATATAATCTTGTATCTCTTTGCTTTAATCAACTTACTTTGCCCTCACACACTAGCGCAAGGTGGTTCACAATGTCAAACATTGTACATATGTTATTGCTGTGTAGGCTACAGTGGGTTAGCCTTTAGGGGGTACACAATTCTAGGGTTTCATACTTGTACTCCCATCTTCTCATACTTCAAACACTTCGTGATTCTTACATGGTATCAGAGCTTAGGTCCTAGTCCTAGGACCACTTACCTAAGGGCCCACCGCTATAAGCGCCCTCGAGCGCCTCTCTTAGTGCGCCCTCGTGCGCCTCTCTTCCTCCTCCTGCCCGCGCGCAGCTCGCTAGTGCCGCGCGCGGCCTTTTTTTTTTCGCGCGCGTCACCCACTAGCGGCCCGCGCGCGGCCCTTTTTTCTGAGCGCGCGACGGCCCCTAACCGCCCACGCGCCCGGCGCCGCCCACGAGCAGCCCCTAGCCGCCCGTCGACCGCCCACCCAGGGTGTCGCAGCCCCACCCCTAGGCCGCCGCGACGCCCCGCTACGCAGCCACCCGCGCGCTAGACAGGCCCGCGCACGGCCACGGCCCGCCCGCTACAGCTGCCCACGCGCACCCCCCCCCGTCGCGCACCGTAGCGTAGCCCAGCCCGAGCCGAGCCGCGCCGCCCGAACCGAACCGCGCCGCCCGAACCGAGCCGCGCCGCCCTAGCCGAGTAGCGCCGCCCTACTGTGCCCCACCTGCAGCAACTCCTGCCGTCCTGCTGCTTCAACTGCACCAGTTACTACTACTGCTACTGCTGCTACTGTTCTTACTGCTGCTACTGCAACTATGGCCACCCCCTCTATTCTCACCTTTGACGCTGAGGGCCGCCCGATTAAGTTTGGGGTTTGGTTAGATGACCTCCACCTGTTCCTCCAGATCACTGCTAAGGACGATGTCTCCCTGTATGACCACACGTCAGGCGCCGCCCCCGCACCTCCCGCAACTGCTGACAGTACTGCTCGCTCCCAGTGGCAGACCCTGATACTCACGCTCGCCTAGCTGTTCGCAGCCACCTGCCGTTAGATGAGCGCGAGCACTTCGGCCAGCATAAGACCGCTAAAGAGCTGTACGACGCCGTGGTCGCGCGCTACTCCTCACCTGCCACTGCTGCTATAGGCCGTCTCTCACTGCCCTACCTCTTTCCCGACCTGTCCGCCTTTGCCACTGTAGCTGACCTCATCACCCACCTCCGTACTAGTGACCTCCGCTACCGTGCCGCGCTCCCCCCCGATTTCCTCGCCAAGAACCCCCCCCCCCCCCCGATGTACCTCACACTGTACCACCTTGTCACCCGCCTCCCTGACTCCCTTCGCACTGTCAGGGACCAGTTTCTCGCCCTCTCTCCCACTGACCTCACTGTCGACCTCCTCGAGAAGGAACTCCTAGCAGCTGAGAAGAGCATTGTAGCTGTAGGTGCCTCTCGTGGTGACCCCCGCACCCCCTTCTTTGAGGGGTGCTCCCCTTCCCCCCTCCTCCCCTCCATTGCATCTGCTGCTGCTGTCGACTACCTCGGAGCTGAGGGAATCGGAGCCGCGTCTACTCCTAGTGGGAGGCGCAAGGGCGGCAGGGGCAAGGGGGGCCGGGATGGTGGAGGTGGAGGCGGGGGCGGCGGCGGTGGAGAGGGTGGGGGGGGCGGGGGTGGTGGCGGGAGTGGGAGTGGCGCGGGTGGTGGGGGGGTCAGTGGCGGCACAGGGGGTGGTGGCGGCGGCGGCGGTGTTGCGGGAGGTGGGGGCGGTGGTGGCAGTGGTGTTGGCGGTGGAGCGGGTGGAGCGGGGGCGGGCGCGTGGTGGAACGGTGCAGCGTGGGGGATTCGGCGGTGGCCAGAGGCAGCAGCAGCAGCGTCCTGGCGAGACTCCCTCGCCCCAGCAGCTCCGTGAGTGGTACTCTCAGCGTGGGGGGTCTGGGGGTGGGGGTCCCTGCCCGTACGTCATCCGCACAGGTGACCGCGCTGGCTTGACTTGTGGGAGGTTCCACACGGCACAGCGCTGCTTCTTTCGCCTCGACGACGCCTGGCGCGAGCAGTTCCCTGACGCCTCTGAGCTGCCTCGCTGGGCTGATCTGCTTAGGAAGGGGATTGATGTCTTTGCTCTTGATTATGATGCTATCCTTGCTGCCATGTATGCATTGACTATTAGTGCTGAGGGTGACTGTTACCTGAGTGTGCCGCCCGACCCAGGTATTGGTACTGGTAAGGCTGCTGCGCTAGGTGCTCGTGCGTCTGCGTCTGCTGGTACTGGGTCTACTGCGGCACTGCACACTTTCACACTGGACTCAGGTGCTTCCCGCTGTTTCTTTCGTGACCGCACTGTCCTTGAGCCACTAGCTCGGCCTGTTGCTGTCTCCCTTGCTGACCCCTCTGGGGGCCCGGTCCTTGCGACCTCCTCCACTGTCCTCCCTTGTCCTGCGGCCCCGTCTGGCACTCTGTCGGGTCTCTACCTCCCCTCGTTCTCTACGAACTTGGTGGCGGGCTCTGCTCTCCAGGACGGGGGTGTTCACCAGTTCACCCCTGCCTATGAGCGGGTGACCCACTGTACGTGTGCTCGGACGGGTCGCCACCTGGCTACCTTCACTCGGCAGCCGGGGTCCGACCTGTACACACTGACCACTGAGTCCCCTCAGGTAGCTGCGTCTGCGTCTGCGTCAGGTCAGCTGTCGGCTCCCTGCTCGTGTCGCTCCCTGTCGCACCAGACCGTCCTCTGGCACCACCGCCTTGGTCACCCTCCGTGCAGCGCCTTCGTGGCATGCACTCCCGGTACCTTGTCTCTGGTCTTCCCAGAGCTCTACCTCCCCTCCCACCCTCGCATGCTCCTCCCTGTCTTCCTTGTGTCGAGGGGCGGCAGCGCGCCACCCCTCACTCCTCCTCGTTCCCTCCCACAGAGGCTCCCCTGCAGACTCTTCACCTGGACGTGTGGGGCCCGGCCCGCGTCCGGGGACAGGGCCACGAGCGGTACTTCCTGCTGGTCGTCGACGACTACACGCGCTACACCACGGTCTTCCCCTTGCGCACCAAGGGTGAGGTCCCTGATGTTTTGATCCCTTGGATCCGCGCCGCTCGTCTCCAGCTCCGCCAGCGGTTCCAGTCGGACTTTCCCGTCCTGCGTCTGCACTCTGACAGGGGTGGTGAGTTTTCCTCCGACCTCCTGGCTGCCTACTGTGCGGAGCACGGCATCCGCCAGACTTTCACGCTTCCGGACTCCCCACAGCAGAATGGGGTTGCTGAGCGCCGCATTGGTTTAGTCATGGAGGTCGCTCGTACCTCCATGATCCATGCGGCTGCCCCCCATTTCCTGTGGCCGTTTGCGGTCCGGTACGCTGCGCATCAGCTCAACCTTTGGCCCCGTGTCTCTGCTCCGGAGACCTCGCCCACACTGCGTTGGACGGGGGAGGTTGGCGATGCGTCGGTGTTCCGTGTCTGGGGATGCCGAGCCCTTGTTCGCGATACGTCCGCGGACAAGCTCTCCTCCCGTGCCGTTCCCTGCGTCTTCCTTGGCTTTGTCCCGGACGCGCCTGGCTGGCAGTTTTACCACCCCACCTCGCGCCGTGTCTTTGCCTCTCAGGACGTCACCTTTGACGAGTCGGTACCCTTTTACCGTCTCTTCCCCTATCGCACTGCCCCCCTCCCTCCCCCGCCGCTTTTCCTCGCTCCAGGTCCCCCTTCGCTAGACCCCCTTCCCCTCAGGGTCCTGCTCCCTCAGGTGTCTCTCAGGTAGACCCTCCTCCCGTCGCTGAGCCTGTCGAGGTCACAGGTGACTCAGGTGCTGCTGCGGGTGGTACTGCTGGGGGTGCTGAGCCTGGGGGTGCTGAGACTGGGGGTGCTGAGCCTGGGGGTGCGGAGACTGGGGGTGCTGACACTGGGGGTGCTGAGCCTTGGGGTACTGGGGCTGGGGGTGCTGAGCCTGGGGGTGCTGGGTCTGGGGGTGCTGAGCCTGGGGGTGCTGAGCCTGGGTTTGCTGGGCCTGGGGGTGCTGAGCCTGGAGGTTCTGGAGCTGCTGGAGCTACCACTGGAGCTGGAGGTTCTGGAGCTGCGGGTTCTGGGTCTGCTGTTGCGCGGTCTCCTTGGAGTAGCCGCCTTCGTACGCGTGTGCCTCTCACCTCCCAGCAGCTGCGCGACTGGTACGGTCGCCGTCAGCGTCGCGCTCCTGTAGCTCGGGACTCTGCTCTTTGCGGTACTTCCACTGACGTCACTGGAGCTGAGAAAGGTGCTGGTTTGTTGTCTCCTGGGGGTGCCCACGTCGCTGGTCCCGGAGGTGCTCGTACCGCTGGTACTCGAGCTGCTGGGGCTGGTGGTGCTGTGTCTGAGGGTACTCCTACTGGGGACGATGCGACTTGGGGTGCTGGTTCTGGAGGCGCTGCTGCTGGTGGAGACTGTCCTGGACGAGTTGCCGCTGGGGGTGGTGGAGCTACTGGAGGTACGGGAGATGCTGTAGGTGCTAGAGCTGCTGGTGCTGGCGACACTACCCAGTCTCGCCTGATCTTCGCTCCGCCGTCTCCGTCGTCTCTGCCACCGCCTGACTCTGTTCTTCCTTCACCAGGTTCTTAGTTTTCCGTCTTCTACCGGTCTTCCCCTCCTGCCTGACTCACCGCTTCCTGCTCCTTCTCCTTACACTGAGCAGTCAGGAGGTCTTACTGAGCGTCGTGAGCCTGCGTCGCGTCCTGTCTCGCCAGTTCGCTCTGGTCACACCGTTCGTCGTGTTCCGCGTTCGGGGTCACCGACTATCCCCGGCACGCACCTTGTCGTCCGTCGTCCTTCCTCTGTTCCACAGTCTGTTCCTCTGCCGTCCCCTCCTGCGTCGTCTTTGCCTCACGTTCCGGACCCTGAGTCTGACCGGTTTCGTGCTGAGCACCCTACTGTCACGCATCTGCTAGCCACTGTTGTCACTGACCCCTCGTTTGAGTCTTCTGCTGCGTCTGCCTTGGTCGCTGAGCTTGTTGACTTTGCTGCTGCTTGTCGTCTAGACTACACTGCTAGCCTTGTTGCTGAGTCTGAGTCTGTCTGTCCTCCGTCCGTCGGGGGTGAGTGTGCTCTTGGCATGGACGTCCTTGAGGACAGGCACAAGGACCTTGAGTGTCTTGCAGCCGCTGCGCCTCATCTCGTGGCCATGCTGCTTGCCCCTGAGGGAGACCCGGATGCTATAGACATCCCTACCCCGCGATCTTACGCTGAGGCGATCGCGGGTCCCTACTCCTCTCAGTGGCAGGCAGCCATGGACGCAGAGATGGCATCCTGGAAGTCCACTGGCACTTACGTTGATGACGTTCCCCCTCCTGGGGCGAACATCGTCAGTGGCATGTGGATTTTCATGGTGAAGCGGCCGCCGGGTTCTCCGCCTGTCTTCAAGGCTCGTTACGTTGCCCGAGGCTTCAGTCAGCGAGAGGGGGTCGACTTCTTCCAGACCTTCTCCCCCACCCCGAAGATGACCACTCTTCGGGTACTGTTGCACGTTGCCGCTCAGCGTGACTACGAGCTTCACTCTCTTGACTTCAGCACAGCTTTCTTGCAGGGCAGCCTGCACGAGGAGATCTGGCTGCGCCGCCCTCCTGGCTTCACTGGGTCGTTTCCTCCTGGTACCCAGTGGAGCCTCCGCCGGCCGGTCTACGGTCTCCGCCAGGCGCCACGTGAGTGGCACGACACACTGAGGACTACACTTGCGGCTCTTGGGTTCGCGCCTTCTACTGCTGACCCGTCGCTGTTTCTGCGCACCGACACTTCGCTGCCGCCGTTCTACATCCTCGTGTACGACGACGACTTGGTCTTTGCCACTGCTGACACTGGGGCTCTCGCCCGCGTGAAGTCCGAACTGTAGAAGAGACACACGTGCACAGACCTGGGTGAACTGCGCAGCTACCTTGGCTTGCAGATCACCTGGGACAGAGCACGCCGCACCATCACACTGACTCAGTCACACATGGTGCAGCAGGTCCTTCAGCGCTTCGGCTTCACTTGGTCCTGAGCACAGGCCACTCCTTTGGCTATAGGTCACTCGCTCTCAGCTCTGCCTTCGGATGAGTCCGTAGAGCCGAGTGGTCCTTACCCAAAGCTAGTGGGCTGCCTCATGTACCTGATGACTTGCACTCGTCCTGACCTAGCGTACCCTCTTGGCCTTCTGGCCCGCTACGTGGCTCCTGGCAGGCACCGAAAGGTGCACTGGGATGCTGCAAAGAGGGTACTGCGCTACTTGTGCAGTACATCAGGCATGGGGCTCGTGCTTGGAGGAGGGAGCCCAGTTGTTCTCACTGGGCACTCAGACGCTTCTTGGGTTGACGACCAGGCTACACAGCGGTCGTCACAGGGTTACACCTTCAGTCTTGGCTCTAGCTCAGTTTCTTGGCGTTCTACACGTTCGTCTTCAGTTCTCAGCTCCAGTTGTGAGGCTGAGATCTACGCCACAGCCATGGCTGCTCAGGAGTTACGCTGGCTCACCTACCTGCTGACCGACCTTGGAGAGCGGCCTCGTTCTCCTCCAGTGCTGTACGTTGATAACGAGGCTGCCATTGCCTTGTGTGAGGAGCACAGACTGGAGCACAGAACGAAGCACATCGCTCTGCGGTACTTTCTGGCTCGAGAGTTGCAGCAACGTGGTCAGCTTCGTCTGCGTTACGTGGCCACTCAGGCCAACACTGCTGATATATTCACCAAGGCACTTCCGCCTAGTGATCATCAGCGTTTCTGCACTTTGTTAGGGCTTGTGCCCACTTTTCCTCACTTGTTGTAGACTTTGCCTGTACTGTGATCTATACCTGCATGCTTGCTAGATATAGATCACTGTGATGCTTGTGTTACATATATGCCTCTGCATGTGAACTGGCCTTGTGGCTTTTTGCTTGTGCTCTGAATGTGTGGTGACGTTGTGATCCACCCTGAGCTTGCTTGCCTTTCTTGACTGGTCTTGTGACCCCTTGCTCTCCCCCACTTTGCCTATGGGGGTGTGTCAAACATTGTACACATGTTATTGCTGTGTAGGCTACAGTGGGTTAGCCTTTAGGGGGTACACAATTCTAGGGTTTCATACTTGTACTCCCATCTTCTCATACTTCAAACACTTCGTGATTCTGACACACAATTCTATCATTAAAACGCTTTCACTATTACACCATTCCTACTTAGGGTTCACCCCTGCAAAGATCCTCTAAGGGCTTTTCTCAGCCCAAGAGTTTGTCCTTGCTGTCGCGCTGTACTTGTCAGGTCAAAGGTCGCTGACCTTTGACTTTCGCGTAACCTCCAGCTGTTGTTCAACCTCCGAGGGTTGACTCGCCGATGCTTTGAAATGTTTCGCTTCGCTTGTGGCTTCGTGTTTCGACACGACAGAGGTGTTAAATCAATTGTTTCCAACATTTTAAACATCGCTGCTGACGTCAGCCATCGTGATGAATCTCGCATGTAACTTCTTGCAATGCTGCTGACGTTAGCCAAACTGCACGCGTTTAAAAGCCACCCGACAATGTGTAGTTGCAGAATGTTACATCAACAACAATTGAGAAGAAATAGAATATAGAACTAGAAGTATTCATGCTAACGTTTCCATTGAGGGTTTCGGTTTCTGCCCTACAATGTTTACACACCATCTGCATTATTGTGCTGTCGATATTAAAGAAATATATATATTAACTTGAAATTCCCATAAAACCGTAAATATTGAATGAATCATCTCACTTCTAGACGTATCAAGGTAATCAAAGCCGTTTAAAAAAACTAACGCATGTTTCAAGTGTTGCTTCGCAACCCTAAGACGATTTCGTCGCCTCTTGTTCATTTTCCAGCTACAAATGATACTGATCGAGTCTCCAAATTTATTCTCAAACAAAAATTGTCGCAAGCATGTGCAAGTGCGTCGCTCGATAGTTTGCGACTGCAAATCTCATTTACATTCAATGCCAAATTCACATCGTGAAGCATGTCCAACCCATGCAAAGAAAGTCCAACCCACACAAAGCAAAGGCCTTAGACACGGGCCTGTCCGGGCGGCAAAAACAACACGTGAATAACAAGAGGCGAAAAACAGAGAAAGGGGGGTGTCTCGAGATGAGACAGAAAGTGCAACAGAAACGAGGACGTGAGAGGAAAGATGCGTGCGCAAAATCCGCTGAATGATAGGGAGATGGGAGGGGCATTGGGGAGGGTGAGATGAGGTGGAGCGAGGGCAACTAAAAGGGAGGGAAGAGAGTAAGGGCGACGTAAAGGGAGGGGAGAGAGCAAGGGTGACCGAAAGGAATGGGAGAGAGCAAGGACGGAAAAGGAGGGGAGAGAGCAAGGGCGACGGAAAAGGAGGGGAGAGAGCAAGGGCGACGGAAAGAGAGGGGAGAGAGCGAGGGCGACGGAAAGGTAGGGGAGAGAGCAAGGGTGACGGAAAGGGATGGGAGAGAGCAAGGGCGACACAAAGGGAGGGGAGAAAGTGAAGGCGGCGGAAAGTGAGGGGAGAGAGCAAGGGCGACGGAAAGGGAGGGGAGAGAGTGAGGGCGACGGAAAGGGAGGGGAGAAAGCAAGGGCGACGGAAAGGGATGGGAGAGAGCAAGGGCGATGGAAAGAGAGGGGAGAGAGCAAGGGCGACGGCAAGGGAGGGGAGAGAGCGAAGGCGACGGGACGGGAGGGGAGCGCGAGAAGGCGAGGGGACGGGAAAGGGAGAGAATGAGGGCGACGGGAAGGGACGGTGGTGAGAGATCGAAGGCAACAGGACGGGAAGGGAGAGCGCAAAGGCATGTTTACTCTTGCTAGGTTGTGATCATTGTACCTCTTGCTCTATTATAAACCTGTATGTGAACTGGTCTTGTGACCACTTGCTTGTGCTCGGAATTTGTGTGGAATCCTCGAGATCCACCCTGAGCTTGTTTTGCCTTGCTTTGCCCTGACTGGTCTTGTGACCCCTAGTTCTCCCCCACTTTGCCTATGGGGGTGTGTCGAACATTGTATATGTTGTGTTTGGTTAGGCTACAGTGGGTTAGCCTGTATGGGGTACACAATTCTAGGGTTTGCTATTTGTACTGATTTCTCTGTTAGTTCAACAACTCCTTTGTTCATTTCTTGCTTGCCTAGCTAGGTCAACCCTAGCTGTGGCTTCTCACTGTCCTTACTATCTTGACATGGTATCAGAGCAGGTCCTTCACTAGGACCGTTTTAGGGCCCACCGTTACCTACCTACCTACCTACCTACCTACCGTGCGCCCTCGCGCCCTCGTGCGCCTCTTACTACCGCGCGCCCTCGTGCGCCCTCGCGCCCTCGTGCGCCCTCGTGCGCTCTCGTGCGCCTCTCCCTACCGCGCACGCACGGCCTGCTAGCCACCCGCGCGCGGCCCGCTTTCTCTTTAGCGCGCGCGACCCGCTAGCCGCCCGCGCGCGGCCCGCCCGTCTGTCGCGACGCCCTGGGGAGCCCGCGAGCGCCCCGCCCGTCCGTCGCGACGCCCTAAGGAGCCCGCGAACCCCCCGCCCGTCCGTCGCGACGCACTGGGGAGCCCGCGAGCGCCCCGCCCGGTCGTCGCGGCGCCATTGGGAGCCCACGCGCGCCCCGCCTTGCCGTCGCGGCGCCCTCGGGGGTCGCGCGCGCGTCCCTCCCACCCGTCCGTCGCGGCGCCTTGGGCAGCAGCGCGCGCCACCCCCCCTCCACCCACCCACCCGACCGTTCTGGCGCCTTGGGGGTCGCGCGCCGTCCCCCCCCTCGCCATCCCCCGCGCTCCTGCCCCCTATCCCACCCGTTTTAGGGTTTCGGGGCGCTGCTGCAGCTGCCGCCGCTGCGATTGCAACAACTGCCGCCGCCGACCCTGCATCAGCTGCCGCCGCCGACTCTGCAGCAGCTGCCGCCGCCGACTCTGCAGCCGCTGCCGCCACCGTACCTGCAGCAGCTGCCGCCGCTGGGACGGCAACTGCTGCCGCCACTAGCCCTGCAGCAGCGGCCACCGCCGAGCCTGCCGCAGTTGGCGCTGCCGTCACTGCTGCCCCGGTCCCTGCAGCAGCCGCCCCTGGCATCTCGAGCAGCTGCCGCGGAGCTCCCTACTGCGGCCTGGCCTCGCTCTGCAGTTGCAGCGGCCCCGCTGTCACCTCCGCCTTGCGCCTGCCCCGCCGACCACTGGTGAGCACTCCCCTGCCAGCACTGCTACCGCTGCTACTCCCACTGTCACTGCTCCTGCTGTTACTGCCCCTGCTGCTACTGTTCCTGACGTGACAAGATGCAGCTCCAGGACCGTGCGCGTGAGTCCCTCACGCTCCAGCAGGCTCGTGAGTGGTACGCTAGTTTAGGCTGTCGGGGTGGCCGTCGTGGTAGTCGCTCTGGAGTGCGTCGTTCGGGAGCATCTGGTAGTGGACAGGTGCAGCAGCAGTGTCCTCTTACGCTCCAGCGGGCCCGTGAGTGGTACGCTAGTTTGGGCTGTCGGGGTGGCCGTAGTGGTAGTCGCTCTGGCGTGCGTTGTTCGGGAGCATCTGGTAGTGGACAGGTGCAGCAGCAGTGTCCTCTTACGCTCCAGCGAGCTCGTGAGTGGTACGCTAGTTTGGGCTCTCGGGGTGGTGGTCGTGGTAGTCACTCTGGAGTGCGTCGTTCGGGAGCTTCTGGTCGCGGACCGGTGCAGCTGCCGTGTAGTGTGAGTGAGGCTGCCGCTCTAGGTGCTAGTGAGACCGCCACTGCAGGTGCTCGCGTGTCTGCCACCTCAGGTGATGGTGAGGCTGCCGCCCTAGGTGCCAGTGAGTCTGTCCCCGCTGGTACTGAGTCGACTGAGGCACTGCACACCTTCACCCTGGACTCAGGTGCTTCTCGCTGTTTCTTTCGTGACCGCACTGCCCTTGAGCCACTTGCTCGGCCAGTTGCTGTCTCCCTCGCTGACC